TAGGTATCTTTTTTTTTTGTTCGTTTTTTTTTTTTTTTTACTAGAGAATTTCAGTGACTGTGCGTTTTCATGGGCTAATACATCCCCAGGGCGTGTATGCCATTATATTCTGGACAATCTCCTCATAGATGAAGAAGAGACTTGAAGAGAGAAATATGTGCTACTACTGATAAATATCTTTAGACACAATGAATAGAGTTCTGAATTGCTATGTAATATCTGTTTACGACATAACAGTGAATGTAGGACACAGTCCTGGGCATGACGATAAACTACATCCGGCAGCATTGTCATTGATCAGAAGATTGGTGGTTTTGAGGAGCATGAAACCACCTCTTAATTACGGTTGCTCCAAAATCCACACTGATCAAGAGTGGTAGCACCAGTTAGGGTCCCAGTTATAGGCAAATAAGGAACCCGCAAACAAAACACTATGAAAATATAAAAATACATTTTTATAGTAAAAATACCAGCAATACTTTTTTATATAGTAGAATTATCAACAATACATGTTTAGTACAATTACTAACAATATTAAAGGAATGTGGCCAACAGTACATTTTAGTATGCAATTGAATGTGTTCAAAATATATTTACTTGAAGCCCTAAAATTGTTTTAAAAATATTTAGATTTCGGCATTAAATAACTGGTAGAAGTTGATATGACACTAAACATGATGAACTACTTAATTAAAATAAAAGAAATCTTAATATCTACATAAAAACGATCAACATGAAAGAACTCTTTCATTGCATTAATCCATGTAATATCCTATAATTTCTTACAGAAATCAAACTATATTCCAAAATATAACTTCAACAAAACTACAACATAAAACACGCATATCACCACCACTAGTAATTATGCTCACACAAACATGTATCTGCATAAAACCTGAGTATTATCTACCACGTATTCAATTGTGAAAGCAGAATAACACACATCCCCCACCTCTAGTAATTATGTTCCCACAAAGATGTATATTCACAAAAGCTGGGTATCATCTACCATTTACTCAATTACATTAAAGCTCCCAAGAAAATTAAATTTTGGCATTAAATCACCCATAAAGTGTCGATGTGCTGTTGAACAAACAAATCAACGAAATCAAAAGCAGGACAATTTCCTCATTGATGAAGAAGTGACTTGAAGTGATAGTGATGTGTTTCTACTGATGGATGTCGTTAGAAAGAACGAAAAATGCGCTTTACTGCTATGTAATATTTAATCTTCTCAATGACAGCAAATGTTTCAAAATCTTCTGGGAGAGGAAGAAGGGATTTGACGGGACATAAATGTGGTTCTACGATGTACCATGGAAGGAACAAGTGAACAATGAGGAAGTTTTATAAAATACAAAGAGACCTTAGAAAGAGACAGCTGATATTTTTTGGATAATTAATGAAATAGAAGGCTTGAAGAATACTCACAGAGTGAAGTGATTTAAAGAAAATCAGGGGTAAAGACTAGGTAAGCTACTTGAAAATTCCGAGTGAATGAATGGTAAAACAAAGTCAAAGAAAGATTCTGAAAGGACAAAAATTATATAGAAAAAAAATGACAGGAAGCTGTGGAGAGCCATATTCACTCGTGTGTTACAAGAAGTAATGAATAAATAACTACCATGGAAACCTGTATCTTGTTTACAATAAGTAGATATACATTGATATTTTTAGTTTCATATAATATGGCACAAGGCGAAAAATTGAGAGAGTTTAGAAAAAAAAGTATTGAGACAGTTTTCAAGGAAAAGGGGGAGAAACTTAGTGAATCTGAAAGAATGGATATTGTTGTAGACGCAGAATATATCCAAAAGAAAACTCAATCTCAGCAATTTAGTGAAAACATATTATTAAGCAAAAAGAACGAATACAAAAGTGTTGCACATCCGACTGACAGCAAAGTACAGTAGTCAACTCGTCAACTATAGACAGCGATATTTAGTCCCCCCCACGTGGGTTACATGTGGCACAAGGCCAGTTTAACGTCGGATCTCCGAGCCCGTAGGCTCGGCCAAAAATAATCCCTCTTTGAACTCGCATAAACGGGTTCAGGAGCAGTCAACCTCCCCGAACGAGACTCTGCCCTTCGGCGGAGCCTCGTTCGGGTTGCTCTCCGCCTGAAGGCGAGAGTTCGACTGTTTAGCTGTAACAGGTCAACTGTAGACAGCCCTCTTGAGAGGCATAATCTCTCCGTATATATAGTAATAGGACGAGTTCATTTAGTCCATAGAGGTAGGTCCCATAAAAGATATTAAGACAAAGACAGAGAGAGAGACGTTGAAATGACCAAAGGAACAAAGTATTGCGCCAATAATCAAGGTAGAAAGGAGAAACTGGCTTTCTAAGATTTCACTTTTATCTGAATTTCTTACACTTGTAGGATGTACAGAAATATATAGTTTGATTGGATTTACGATATGTCCTAACATCACTGTGACCCGTTACGCTGAATTTCTATTGGGACTTAAACTCATTTCAGACCTTAAGTAGAACTCATATATACGATTCATTGCTAAAGTTGCTTTGAAAATGTTTGTTCCTCGTAGCGCTTAGATCAGACCAAAAATGGTGTATTGCTGCCATATCTGGTCTGGAGCTGCCAAATCCTCACTTTCCAGCTTGTATCACTTTAAAAAGTACCTGACTCCTACTCTATCTTTAAAAGAGTCACACAGAACGAAAAATGGTGTATTGCTGCCAGCTGCTATATATCTTATATATACTCATAATCAGCACTTACCTCCTCTATTGATGTCCATACAGCAACCTCATTCCGTAACCCTCTACCTTCAGTGATTCTTTGGCTTTGAACAATTTTCAACTCCAGGATAATGGGTAACATTACTCAAATTCTAAATGGAGAGACTTCTCTCTGATTGACCATGTCTTTTTTGGAGTGTTGTGGTATGCACAACGATCGACCAAGTGCAGTTTGGTGAAACTATTTAACTTATAGTTCAAGGCTTTGAATTCAAATTTTTTCTTCCCATGGATCGGTTGGTACACCAGGCTATAGGCCCTAGTCTCTCCTGCATGGGAAGAAGAGATGGATCCATACTTTTCCCAAAGGTATTTGCATGTACAATACAGTTCAAAAGTTTGAAAGCATCTCCCCCCAGATTTAGCATGGGATGAACTTGACAGAAGAGTAAAAATAATGAACAATAGCTCTTCGAGTCATTAAAATAAGAATGCAATCATTTATCAAAATTATACTTCGAGAAACTTTTGCAGCGAATGCCAAAATTTTGTGCTGCATTAATCAAGGTTAAAGGAGGATATTTTGACGAGAGCAAAATTTAATCATAAAATACATGTTTTCCTTTTTGTCATAATAAAATTTCTAAGAACGAAAAGATGTCGCATTTTTTTAACCATGTAATAATAATTTTCTCTCCTTAAAACTACAAAGCAACTACTTTGAGGCTAATTTAAAAATTACTAGAAGTGACCTCAAACTTTTGAACTGCATTGGAAGTGAATATAAGAAACTCGTCTAGAACTCGAACCCTGCTCTCCGATTTCTCCGCTATCCATTACTACACCGCGCCCCTTCAACAATAAAAATAGTATACATTAAAAAAGAACTGGGTTATTTAATATCATATATTGCATTGGGCACCATGTGAGGATTTTACTTATTATTTTGTAATAATGGTCAATCAGGCTAGCCTTGCTAACCATTAGCTCTCTCCCTGAGGCGCCTCAGTTTCGCCTCAGTCCTTCGCAGACTTAGCGTTGGACATTTATTAAGACGAATGAGTTGAATTACTGTAATAACAGGCGCCGACTGTGGAACGATGGTTGATCAGATCGTCTCGCAGACCACTCCGATCTGCTGCTTGTAAAGGGCTCAATATCTTCAAGCGGTCATGGGAGCAGGAACCGTGCTCATCGTTATTTAATCTAATTAACTAAACTGAAAGTGAAGCAAACAAAAAAGAAAACAGATGACTTCCTAATAATATTGATATGTGAAAACAAATTTGCTCACAGACATAAAACTGTAGGAGTAAGCATTTTTAAGAGTAACAAAATAAGAGGGAATAGATAGGAGGAAGATTTCCTCTCTATTCGAATTGAAGTATCTAAAAGGTAGCCGGTTCCACAACGTTCTTGGGAAGAAGCTTTCCAGGGGTGGGGGGAATCCTTGTTGCGATAGAAATACCTAGGAATAGGGGATGATTCAGCCCTGTGAGCGGAGTATTGAGGGTTATCTCTTCTCTACCTTGCTATCGGCTATATAGCAAGGTAGACTGCTTTCTTTAGAACTAGTTGGCATCTGGTCTAGAAGGACCCTGAATACAAAACCGGGAGAAAGACAACGGGAAACCACCCCGTATTTCGAATAAATGACCAACATTTAATAAAGAGGACGTATCTATGGAAATCCATGATCGCCGACGAACCTAAAAGACATAGCATTGAAAAAAAAAAGTCCGATAAAGCGAAGTGTTAAAGAGACAAAAGTTGGCGCCAAAATACAGGAAGGAGTAAAGAGTCATGATCGTACAAGTCCTGAAAGAACATGGCACATCAAAGTAGTCATACCAACCTTTTCGTAGAGAACAGGCTCCTGAACGGTTATGTAATATTAGTTCTCTTATATGGCAATGGATGCTGGACAATTCTCCTAAAAGAAGAAGATGAGGAGATTTTTATCAACACAAATGTGGTACTACAGGAGGATGTTAAGAATACATTTGATTTGACAACAACGAGGTTTTAAGGGAAATGAAAGCACAAAAGACACATACACATGACATCAGTAAGATAGTGTTGATATTTTCATGGGATAGTGTTGATATTTTCATGGGATAGTGTTGATATTTCTAGGATATATTTAAGAAAGCACAAATATTTAAGATAAATTTCTAGGATATATTTAAGAAAGCACAAATAGTAAGATAAGGAGTTAGAATGGGAAAGAGAAAGAGAAACAAATACAGAGAGAGAGGGAGGGAGAGAGGTGATGTGGTGTCATTTAGTTTCTGCAATCAGAGGGAGTGAGAGAGAGTGAGAGAGAGAGTGTGGGTTTGAGAAAGAAAAAGACAAAAGGAGAAATGGTGTGAAAAAAGAGAGAGCATATATGTGTGTGTGTTAGCATGTGCGAGAGAGAGAGAGAGAGAAAGACAGGGACAGAGAGAGAGAGAGAGAGAGAGAGAGAGAGAGAGAGGGAGGGAGGGGAACATGCTTTCTTTTATTTCCTGAAGTCAAACCGATATTTTAATCGGGAGAGAAAGAAGAAAGGGAGAGGTGGGAAGGGAGAAGGAGAATAAATAAATAAATAAATAAATAAATAAATAGCCCACCTCGAGGCGGTGTAGTGGTTAGCAAGCTTGTCTCACTAGAACATTTACAAGTGAATAGTGAGTTCGATCCTCACTGGGTGCTCTATACTTTCGGCCTTGTGCCACATCTAAGCTACGCTTGGAAAATCACTAGATAGCGTAAGAGGTGTATGCTTCCTTTTAGTTCTTGAAGTCAAACGGATATTTTCAGAGGGAGCAGCAAATAAATAAATAAAAAACACAGAAAGAATGAAGAGGTAGAGGGGGAATATATATATAAAAAGGAAGTTGTTACTATTTAGTTTCTGCAGACATATAAATAGTTTCGTAGAGATAGGGAGAGAAAAGAAGAAGATATATATATATATATATACGAATATATTGGCATCAATATAGAAACCAAAAACATACCTCATCTTCGCTCAAACATCTCTCTCTCCTTTTCTCCCTCTCTCTCTATATATATAGTGAGAGTGTAATATAGTTCCTTTTATTTTCTGAAGACAAGGCGATTGTTTAATAGAGATAGATAGAGAGAGAGAGAGATAGAGAGAGAGAGAGGTGTTGAGTGAAGATGAGGTATGTTTTTGGTTTCTATAGTGATGCCAATATATTCGTAGAGAGAGAGAGAGAAAAAAGGGAAAAAGAAAAGTGAGAGAGATATAGAGGGAAAGAAGGAAGGGGAGTCTGTGTGAGGGAGCGGTATATACTTCATATTAATTGCTACAGTCAAACCAATATTTCCGTAGATAGCGAAAGAGAGAAAGGACAGAAAGAGATTGATATTTAGATAGATAGATAGATAGATAGATAGATAGATAGAGATGGGAAAGAGAAGAGCGAAAAGAAAGGATTATGCCTTCTTTTAGTTCCGTATTCAAACAAATATATTCGTAGAGAGAGAAAGAGAATAAGAACCAAATATTTGAGTGCGCTCACGCGTGTCTGTGTGTGTCTATGTGTGTGTGTGTGTGTGTGTGCGAGAGAGAGAGACAGTGAGTGAGGGTGTGCGTACCTGTGATAGAGCAAGTGCGAGAGTAAGAGAGAGAGAGAACGAGAGAGAGAGAGAGGGGGGAAGGAAAGAAAGATGGGAGGGCGAGAAAGAAAGGAAACAATTCTCCCTTTTAGTTATTATAATGATATCAATATTTTCCTAAAGACAGAAAATATATATATATATATATATATATATATATATATATATATATATATATATATATATATATATATATGCTCTTTCTGTCTTTAGGAAAATATTGATATTATATATATATATATATATATATATATATATATGAAGGCAAATATATGGATATAGATCCGATAGTATGAAAAAAATATACAGAAAAACAAACAAAAATCCTAATATGCGATTATATTAAAATTAAAACAGCATAATTGCATATTAGAATTTTTTGTTTGTTTTTCCGTATATATTTTTTTTCTTCATATATATATATATATATATATATATATATATATATATATATATATATGTGGAGAGAGGGAGAGAAAGCGAAAGGCGACAGATAGATAGAGAAAAGGAGGAGGAGAAAGCATGTTTGAGAGAGGGGAATATGTATCGTTGTACTGCCTGAAGTAATACCAATATTTTCGTCGTGAGACAAAGACAAAAAGAAAGAAAGAAAAGTTGATAGAAACATGCTTCCTTTTTATGCCGAGAGGCATAACAATATTTTCATAAAGAGAGAAAGACCTGAGAGAGAGAGAGAGAGAGAGAGAGAGAGAGAGAGAGAGAGAGAGAAAGAATGAAGATAGTGAATGTGTGAGATTCCCATAGTCATAGCAATATGTTCATAAACAGAGAAAGAGAAAAAGAACAGTGTGTGTGTGTGTGTGTGAGAGAGAGAGAGAGAGAGAGAGGGGGGGAGGTAAAGAGAAAGAAATCGAGGAAACCCTTCCTTTTAGTTCCTGTAGTTATAGCAATATTTTCGTAGAGAGAGCTAGTGAGAGACAGAGATAGATAGAACACCAGACAGAGAGGGGGCGGGATGGAAAGAAAGAGTGAAGAATTTTTTTATTTTATTTCTATAGTCATACCAATATTTTCGTCTTGAGACAATAAGAAAAAGAATAAAGAGGGAAGGAGATATAGAGAGGGTGGGAGGAGAAATAAAGAGAGAAAGAAACTTCCGTTTAGGTCCTATAATGATGAAAACATTTTCGTAGAGAGAGAAAGAAAGAACGAAAAAGAGACAGAGAGTAGGAGGGAAGGTGAGAGAAGGAGGAAGAGAGAGAGAGAGAGAAGGAGGGAGCGAAATAAAGAACTAAAATACTTCCTTTTATTGTCTATAGTCATATTAATAATTTCATAAAGAGAGAAAGAACACAGGGAGAGAGACAGACAGAGAGAGACAGAGACAGAGAGAGAGAGAGGGGGGAGAGATAGGGAGAAAAAAAGAAGGAAGATAGTGAGTGTGTGAGAGTGCGAAATATGCACCTTTTAGTTTACTATAGTCATACCATAATTTTTGTAGAGAAGGAAGAAAGAGAGAAAATAACCAAGATAAATATAGTCCCCGTAAAAATTACCGAATTATTTGTACCTTTTCATCAAAAACAATTTGTAATTACTATAACAACGCGAACGAGAGAAAAAGCCTCACCCCTCTTTCTTTCTCTTTCTTCCTTTCTCTACAAAAATATTAGTCGGCACGAGAATATAAAACGAAGAATCCGACCCACCCTCTCCTTTCTTCCCCCCTCTCTCCCTCTCTCTCTATTTTTCGTTCTCGCCTTCTCTCTTTACGAACATATTAGCATAAAAGCAAGAAGTGAGAGAAAATATATTCCCCCTATCTCTCCCTACTATTACTACTACTTTCTATTCCTTTCCGACTTCACCTTCTTGTTTCTTTCCTTCTTTCTCGACGAAAGTTGATATATCCCCCTCTCTCCTTCTCTCTCTTTCTTTCTCTCTCTCTTTCTCGCCCAATGATTATATTATTAATACGACATAAACCAAAACGAAACATCTTCCTATCTCTCACCTTTTTCCCCTCTTATCGATTACTGATTTTCCCCCGTTGTTTCTCATTATAACTCTCTTTCTCTCTCTCTTTGAACGTTTCAGTTATATTCTAGTGTAACCATCATAAGTTAACGTAAGCTTATCGATTATCAGACGTGTATTTAGGTAATCCAATATATATTATGTTATTGTAATTTTGTTTTAAGCCTGTTTTTATTTTTTTTTATTAATATTCTACCGCTGAAACATTTTTTTCCTTAAGAATCAGTTTCTATAACTATCCAATTTCTTTGTCTTATTCGACTTTCGTTGCCCAAAATATTTTGCCAATTAGTGGATTGCCGTTATACATCTGTAATTTTATTTTTTCTTAGAATTATGACTTTCATTGTTTGATATTTTCTACCGTGTGGCACAGTAACAGATTTACGGGCTCATCACCAACAATCTAGAGCTTGGCAGACGATCTTTTCTCAAATATACCCAGAGAGAGAGAGAGAGAGAGAGAGAGAGAGAGGAAACAAAGATGAAAGGGAGTGAAAGAAATGGAATAATTCTTCCTTTTAGTTTCTATAGTCATATCAGTATTTTCATAAAGACAGAAAGAGAAGAGAGAGAGATACACAGAGATATATAGAGAGAGGTAGATAGAGATAGAAAAAAGAAAGCGGAAGACAGAGAGAGAGAGAGAGAGAGAGAGAGAGAGAGAAAAGGAAGTGGGAAAGAAAAGTAGGAGGAGAAAGCATGTTTGAGAGAGTGGAATATGTATCGTTTTAATGCCTGAAGTCATACCAATACTTTCGTAGGGAAATAAATAAATAAATAAATAAAGAAACAAATATGCTTCCCTTTCATGTCAATATTCATACGAATATTTTCATAAAGAGAGAAAGACTAGAGAGAGATAGGGAGAAAAAGAAGGAAGATAGTGAGAGTCTTATAGCCACAGCAATATATTCAGAGAAAGAGAAAAAGAACATACTGCTATACTCTATCTCTACAACAGCCATAACAGACCAATAATAATCAACTATAATAAAATAAACGTTTTCATTGCGAAACCCGAATTACTCAAATAAAGATTCATAAGCCTCTACTTAGAGCTGTTGATATATTACATATAGTTAAATTACCAACACTGCCTATTTATAATAGTTTAGCATCCTGCTACCACTTTTCTATCAATGTCAATTTGTGGATCACAGAGCCTTGATATTTTAGTGTACACGACAAAGGACCCATCCAGGTCATTAGAAATAATAGACGATAATTTAACATCTCGGGTATTGTAATGTTTTGGCCAATGCACATGTCTCCCAGATCTTTTAACATTCTTCTCTGCTATTGTCCCTGGTGAGGTGTCATTTGTTTTGCTGGGTGTTTATTCATTCGTCTTTTGAGTGATATTTGAGTCTGGATTCTAATGTTTTCCTTTTTGTAGTTGTTGTGAGAATTGGTTCTAGACATAAATACTAACAATATATTTTATTTGTAATTGAAGGCATACAATCGCGTTCAAAATATATTTATTTGAAACCATAAAATTATGTAGATAATATTTATGTATCTGCATAAAATAACCCATAGAAGTGTTGATATGACGCTTAACCAAATCAACCAACATTCTAAGCATTACCATCTTGGCCTCTTCAAATGTAGAGTTAACTGTTATCTTTCTTTCATAATTCCATGAACTTCGCTTCTTGTCTATTTTGACGCTCATACATCAAGCAGTAATCCTCTACTTTGAGTGGTTTTTGGGCCTTGTATTAGGTGAACATTATGAAAAAAATCAGCTCAAAGTGGAGAAACAATCTTGTAAGATTCGATAGCGTCAGTAACCTTCCATGATTTCCGGATAAAAGCTCGAATTAGTGACAGACACTATTAGTAGTTCTACTCTCATTAAGGCTTTGAACATTATAAAAAATCCAGCTCAAATGGGAGAAACTATCTTGTAAGATTCAATAGCGCTAAAACCAACTCAGTAACCTTCCATGATCTCCGGATAAAAGCATGAATTAGCGACAGGCACGATGAGCAGGTCTACTCTCAATAAGGCTTTGAACGTCTATTGTGGCTCAAGTTTATCGCATGTCTCAAGTGGAACTCATACTTTAAACGACCCGTCTCTAAAAATGGTGGGAAAAAAGGCCAGTACCTTGTACTTCTCCAGAAACTTTCCTAACTCCTTTTGCCATGCTCTAACTTCATAAGAGTCATATCAAATCACAAGTATCGTTGCCATGTCCCCGACTGTAGCCGCCTAAAACTCATTTTCCAGCATTGATATAGTTCAAAAGCGATTACGCGACCTTGTGAATGATGAATTGCCACACTAAAGACCTTTTCCCATAGACGAAACATTGCGAGCCTATCCCCACTTCGTCACATTGTACAAATTCTGAGATCTGAATTCCACCAGTTCAGACATTTACCATCCGTGTCACATACGGTTGAATTGTCCTCGTTCTCTTAGTAATTCCATTGGTAAGAAGTGGGGTTCGTCAGACATCTTCTTCTTGAGTACCACGATTGACCGTCCTGGGTATGACGATAAACTACACCTGGCGTCAAGGCCTCTGATTGGGTCGTTTTGAGGAGCGTGGAACCACCTCTTAAATTCTGTTGTTCCAAGGTCCATCCTGATCTTGGGTGGAAGCACCTGTTAATATCCCAACTATGAGCAAATAGTTAACCCCCAAACTGGGGACAAAACAGTATGAAACTAGAAAATACATTATTCATGTAAAAATACCAGCAATACATGTTTGTAAAAAAATTACTCGCAATATATTTAAAAAAAATTACCACCAATAACTTTTTGAAAAAAAATTACCAGCAATGTATTTAAAAAACTGTTACCCCTAGTACATTTTTAAATAATTAAAAAATTACTAGTAGTATATTTAAGAAAAAAAATTCCAGCAATATATTTTTTTTTTAAATTACCAGCAATACACTTTTGAAAAAAAAGAAATTACCAGCAATACGTATTTAAAAAAAAATGCCAGCAATACATATTTGAAAAAAAAATATTTTTTTTAAATTATCGGAAATACATATTTGAAAAAAAATACCATCAATATATATATATATATATTTTAAAAATATTACCGCAAATTCATATTTGAAAAAAAGTTAAAATTTTCCAGGAATATATATTTTAAAAAAAATAAAATTACTAACAATATATATTTGAAAAAATTAAAATTACCAGCAATGTATTTTTAAAAGAAAAAAAAAAAAGAAAAAAAAAAAAGGAATATACTTTTGTAAAAGAAATTACTAATGCTCTCAAGAAAATTCAATTTTGACATTAAATGACCCATAAGGAGTTGATATGCCGGTAAACAAACAAACAAAACCATGGATCAGTGTGTGGATCAGACTCCCAAGATGTTTCTCTGATCACGACAATATTAATCCCCCCCAAAATATGTCTGGCCACTCGTACCTGAGGATGCCTCGTCTACTAAGGCGGCTGGCCAATCCCTGTTGCAAACGCCTGCTCAGGTACATTTGTGTTTGTTCAACGCCTACAGAGCCCACCTGTGGTTTATACCACAACTATGATGTGCGTTACAGTTTCTGGGAGCACGTGTCAGCACGCTCAAATCCTCTGTCATAATGACTTGTGACTTTGTGCTAGCACAACAATTGATGGCTCCCCAAAGAGTTCCATCTACTAAATATCGCCCATAAGACTTGGATCAACCAGTACTGTGGTTTCAGGCTTTTTCCAAAGGTGTCGCACGCTCGGATCGCCTCCTCCAGAATAGTAACATCAAGAAGTCTCCTTCCTGACAATTCGACCATGATGAGATTCGAACCCGGGTCGCATGGTCAGAAATCCAACATTCTAACCATTTGGTTACTAATTTACATTTATAGTTTCCTCTTACGACCATACAATGAACTCAGTCAGTAACCCTAACTTTGCCCTTTTTTGGATGAACGTTTAGTAAAAGAAAATAGTATAGATTAAGATTCGAACTCTGACAATATTAGCAAGACTAATCATCACGATGTATTATGCGTCCAGTTTATCTTTACTAAACTGATATTAGCACGGCACAAGGTTAAATGCAGAGACAATCCAGCAAAGATCAAAGTCCTTATCTAACAGCCACATCATGTAGAAACACCGATTCCCGCACAATAACCAAAGTTAAGCAACGTCGAGTTTGGTTAGTACTGAGATGCCTGACCGCTTGGGAATATCAAGTGCTGTAAGTTTGGATGTGCCGGTGGTGTAATAGATAATGACACGGAATTTTTAATCGGTGAGTCGATTTCCCTTTCCAGTTATATCTGTTATATTCTAATGCACATATAACCTTGGGACAGGCATGAACGCAACGCTTCTACCCCGAGCTATGGGTTAATTGGTAAGACTTGTATCACTAAATCATTATTATCTCTAAAAATAAAAATAAAATGCGTACAAAATATTTAGATTTCGGCGTTAAAGAACCCATAGAGGTGTTGATATGCTCCTACACAAAAACAACCAGACAACCTTATCTTAGCGGAGTTTATATAACAGACAGCAGACATCAATCTCAAATTGGTAAAGTGAAGAACATGCCGATATGGTTGACACAAGTTTTGCTTAATGGACAACTGCCTGCACGGTTTGACAGGTAATTGAACTATTCTTGGCCATGTGTTTGCTGTTCGTCAGAAATTGTTTCTATATGGTAATGGTATTGATCGTATTAGCCGTTTCCTTATAAGGAAACATTCGGTATACATCAATCGAGAAGCCAGTGCCAGTGTCGTTTGAAATTTATGAAAAATGTTTTAAGAGGAAGATTTTTATGAAAATCTTTCTCTTAAAACATTTTTTTAAAAACATTTTCTTTTTTTCATTTCATTTTTTTTTCTAAAAAAACATTTTTTTAAAAATCTTTCTTTTATAACATTTTTTTTTAGAAAAAAAAAAAGATTTCTGTAGTCAAGTGACTGTTGTTGTATCATCAGTAATCGCTGATGAGTTACATCCCTTGTTTTTGTTGCTATTGTTTTGGGTCCCCGAGAGAGGGCAGTTTTGCTCGGGGCAATTTTGGAATAAAATGAGAAAATGACGACTACGGTTTTCGTTTTGCTCTTTCGCTTGTTACTAAATTAATTGCAACGATCCGTGTATAAAACAGCTGTCGCTTTTTTCAGGATTGAAGGATTGTTTCCTCCCCAACCTTTTGTTTAAATGTTTTGATTATGCCATTTTTTTCTCTTCGATTAATATGTATTATCTATTTTAGTTGTGTGCTGTTGAAAGTCCACAAGTGATATGGTTTCTGTTATCTGATACAGTTCTTTGCGATTTTGCAACGCCAACACACGAAGTTCGTAGATACTGTAGTGCCTACGTCGGGGTTACCAAATATTGTGCAGAAATTAGTTCCTACGTCGGGGTTACCAAATGTAGTGATAGAGTTGAATGACGAACGTCGCGGTCATCAATATTTGTTGATATAGAGTTACCAATATTTAACTTTGGCTAAGAAAGATGAGATTAAGGACAATGCGTGAACGCAATGCAATTTATACTTGACGTAAATAACACTTAGAATAAAATACAAAACTGAACTGAATGATTCCAAAGCATAATTAAATTTATTAATGTTTGATGTACATGTACTGAAAAGGTAAAACAGAGTCATGTCCCTTTGACTTAGTAATATTTGTACCGAAGTTCATATTAAGAAGAAGTAATATTGAACTTGTAATTTAGAAGAATAAAGTTTGGAATTGTGAATTCTAGAGTTGATAACAGTTCAGGAGTGATTTCAGAGTTCGTGAATATTGGTAATTGTCTTTAACGTCTGGTCAGCGATGATTAGAAAGGAAGTTGGTGAAGGTTACATCTTGGCACTTGGTAGCAAGGTATGAGACGTGCGAGAGAGATGAATGAAAAGAAAGCTACTCAGAGAGTTCATACGTGTTCGGTTTATATAATGGTCGTGTACCACGTGGGAGGCTCAAACGGAGAACGCGGGAAAAACAGATTGGTCGCGTGCAGGCGGTTTGATTGGTCGGAACAGACCAATCAGCAAGCAAGATTGGAGGTGATTGACCAATGAATACTTGTTATATTTGTATGAAAGTAGGATGTTACTTACCAGATAGGAAGAGTGCATTTCCTAAAAAGAGGTAAGGCTGGTTTGTTGTGGAAGATCCCACAATACTAATAGGAAATTTGACTTTTAGTGTCATCAAATTTTTTTTCCCCTTAAACATTACCGTAACGTAATCCACAACATCTTGGGAGTCTTGAGCTGTATTTTTTTTATAATGTTCAAGGCCTTATTGAGAGTAGAACTGCTCATAGTGACTGTTACTGTATTTTTGATTGTGTTGTATTGAACGCCCCCATTGCAACATTTTGCACTCTTTGTCAGGTTATCAGAATAGAGTTGCGATGCCTCAAACATTGCAAATGTTTAGACCATCCGGTAAAAAGCTCATGCTCTTAGGCATCGTGGGCCTGCTGCAACCTAAGCCAGCTAACAATTACCACCTATCCGGACCTTAGATGCATATACGCGCCAACTAGTCATTTGTCGAGTCTAGTGACCCAGGATTTTGTTGTGGTTCCAGATCGTGAACAAAATTATGTCAACTCGATTTTTTTTTAACGTAATAAATGTTCTTGCGTCGATATTGATTTTTTTTAAGGCTTGTCTTGGAAGACGACCATTTTTTTTTATTCGGAACTAATATTTGTCGTCGAACTGTGCATTTTGAAGATTTTTGGTGACGAATTTTACATTAATTATATTATCATTATTTCTAGTTTAAATCCTCTTTATTATTGTTTATTTTATCACTCTGGTTCAATATATTCTTTGTTACTCGTATTAACCTATTGATGTTAGAGATGATATTTAGATTAAGGGTTTTCGTTATTATTATTTTGTTGTTAGTTTTGTAACATATTATCATTATTGCTTCTAGCTTAAACAATTATTATTTTATTACTAGATTGGATTTTTTATTGAAACAATTTCACTATTATTATTTTATTACAAATTTTATCACATACTAGCCGAAGCAACCGGCGTTGCCTGGGTGTACATAGTTGCAGTTGTATAACCGACCTCTCTCTGTATACCCGCACCCCCTGTCTAGAAATATCTGCCTACCTCCCCGCTTGCATGCATCATCCATTGGTATACTAAGCTACTGCCCACCTCATTATTTTTACGGTATGTCCTTCGCAAGTGTTTGATCGTTCTTAATAAAGGAATTCCAGCGATAAAACCTTGTGTGATCGTTACTCGGGGTTAAATTGTTTCAGTGTTTTAGATATTCAGTAAATTTCCTATCGTCGTAATAACTGTCGAATGGTAAGGCGTTGTTCGCAAATCTAATAATCAAATAAAAACAGGGATGAAGCGTCAGAGCTTGATTCAGCTGCAAGCGCAAACGCATAAACGCCCCGCTCCTTGTTCGCATGTTTACTGTAAAGCTGTGGTTATTAAGAGGTTCTTCGGGAATTTTTTTTCCATTTTAAAACTTCAATAATCCTTCTCAATCTTTGTACCAAAGGTTATTCGAATGCCAATTTAGGATGGAATCATATGAAGAATCTATTGGCTAAATGGCAAAAGCCGATTTTTGACGTAGTTTCTCACAGATTTTGTCCACTTAACTGAAATAATCTAAACCTAACATTTACTCAAGACAATTTATGTGTCATATGTAATTTACATGACAAATCTGGAATGCATTGGACGAAAAAACAAAGGATTTTAACGGTTTTTCGTGGTTTTTCGTTATACGAGGGTAAGCGAGTAGGACTTATTTGTTGCATGATGACAATTTTTTGCGACATGTTTAAAGAAAATCGGATAAAAAAATGAGGAATTTATTCAAGATTTTTATTTTAAGTAATATGACAAATCCAATTTTTTCATAGATTTTTTTGCATTTGTTTCTGTGAAGCTGATGTCGCAGGAAACTTGCAACATGAGCTGATGTTGCATTAAGTGCAAAGAACATCAGCTCATCCAGTAAAAATTTTATTTGCGGGTAAAAAAGTTTTTTTTGCAAAAAGTTGGACTCACCTTCAGTTTTATCGATTTTTCCGACAAACCCAGGGAGCCTGGAAATTAAAAAGTTGGTCCTGTCCAGTTTAGTAAATTTTCAATATGTATGTACAATTCCATTCAAATCGGTCGAGAAATGTGGACGTGCATATAAATAGCATACACAAACACAGACACACAGACATACAGACATCTTCTGTTTTATAGATATAGATTATAACCACTGTTTTTTTATATGGTACAATATCCAGATTATTATTGTTAGTAGTATTGCTATTATTATTTTATTACACGTTTTATTATATATTATAAATTTTGCTGTTTTAGATGAATCAATATCACGATTATTATTATTATTATTTCATTACTAGTTTTATTACATATTATAATTTTTATTTTTTGATGATACAATCTCACGATTATTATTATTATTATTACTATTAATATTTTATTACTAGTTTTATTACTGTCATTTAGGTAGAAAATGAGTAACTACATACACTGAAGTTCGAGTGTAACACTCTGGACTTATGAATATATGTTTTCCGCCAGGTGTATAAATAGCGGTGTCAGGCTACTGACTGTAGTGATTATTAGGTGACTATTGAGTGGAACTATCCAGTCGAATTAGTGTGAATTATTGTGCGTCGATTATTTGGGTTTTGATTTAGGACGTTAAGCCGAACCACGTTACTAACAAGGTATTCACTGAAATGGTTAATTAACTTTAGTTGAATTTTACTTCTTTTTCTTGTTAAGTATTTATTTGCGGTTTGTAATTAAATACTGTTTTATCATAACATGCCTGGGGTTATATTTAACACTAGGATGGCCGAGGTGTCGTTTTCGACACCTGCAAGATTTCAACAAATTCCTATGGAATAACTAGTTTTGGTTCGATGCTGAGGCTTATGGACAATTATTGAATTTTCGCAAAGATGCTTCACAGACTTAATTCTTTAAAAAATATTCAGTGGAATAGCTGAGATTTGAGGTTTTATTTGAATGGCCGAGGTGTCGTTTTTTGACACCTAGGCTATTTATAGGTAAATGCATTGAAACATTTCTCACAAGCAATAATACTTTGTTTATGTCCCTATCTATCTATCTATCTATACACACACACACATAATATATATATATATATATATATATATATATATATATATATATATGTGA